CAGACTAAATATAGGAAATAATGCAATAACTTCGGTTAGTAAAAATATGATGACAATAGATAATTTATAAGGAGGGAAACAGAGTCTTGAAACCTAAAATGTAGTGTGCCACCAAATATGTTTAGAAGACGACAAATTATATTACATACGTGTAGGCTACTGTCCATTTTGTTATAAATATATTACAACCTTTGTAGCCTTACAATCCTTACTCCATAGGATATGAGCAATTTTGAAGTAAAAGTTTTGGTTTTGATATCCCACTTTTTGTATAGAAACATCAGACACTTCTGATTATATCCACACCCCCTTAAAAATCCTATCGTATTCACACGCAAAACAGAAAGCCAAATTATGACTGTGGGGGGGGGGGGGGGGGGGGGGGGGGGGGATTGCAATTGGGAAATTCACTCGAAAAAGCTTTGGTTTTCTCATATGGAGGAGAAATCAAATTTACATGCAATCAATTTAAAAGTGTAACAAAATCCAGGTAAAAAAAATACCCATATAGGGAAGTAGAGAATGAGTGAATGACCATGTATAAGCTTTGCTCATATGCAACAAATATTCAGTAAATAAATACTGAACCAACAGCAATGCATCACCAGAACACACATTCATATAAACTTTGATTTCCAACTTATATATCATCACTCGACCTCCTTAATTTCCATTTCTCCCAACCTCGATTCGATTAGAAACTAAACATGATCAACATCAAGAATCTTTCAGTGAGTTTTCCATCCTTCCTCCTATCTTATGATTAGCAAACACCTCAAAGTTTTCCTTAAACATACCTCCCAACCTCAGCAACGTCTCATTATAAGCCTTCTTGTCCGACCACTACAATCCCCCAAACTCGAAAATCCAACATCTCCATCTGTTGTTATACCTAATTGATTGGTTATTTCTCTCCGTTCGTATCAAGGGAAAAAGAAGAAGAGGTAGCAATCAAAACACTCACAGTATTGCCAAGTTGAAGGATTTCGGAAAAAATTGAAGTAAAAACCCAAACTCTGTTAGAATACATAATAATCCAATCGACTGTCTAGAATTCAAATATCCATATGAAGAAAAAAGCTTTAGAACCAGCAGGGTTATCACGTTAACTTGTTACAATATCGACACGAACATCATCAACATAACGAAAATCGAGATCGACCATCTATCCGAGTCGGCGGTGTGGGCATCCCTGCATCGCTTCACTCCCATCTCATCAGCGAGTCTCTGCACTTTGACGTTGTTGTCGATGACTTCCAAATAGCAGGAGTTAGATCTGTAATTTCGTGCAATTGAAGGGAAAGAAAATCACAATTGGTTTAATTTGTGAACAAAGAAGGGGAAAAAGGCTAGGGCACAATCACGGGGAGAAACAAAGAATGATGATTCGAAGAGTCTGTTGAGATATCCCTCGGGCGCCCAAAAAAGATATAGTTTAGGATAAAAGAGGGAATTTGATTGGCGAAAATCTCACAGAACTGTACAATATACTGATGGGGATGAACAATAGTGCTATCCTTTTGTCAACAGTAGCATTCATATATAATGTTAGAAACAAAGTAGCATAAATAGGTAATTCCACAATGAAATGAAAAGGAAATTTGGTCATCTCAATTCACCATGAGAAGCAGGAAATCATACGCCAATAACCAAACCAAATTACTCATAAACTCTGAGATCCAGTTGTAGAAAGCGAATATCAAGCTATACTAACTGAAGTAGACTTTGCAAACACAGCCTACGGATTGGAATTGGCGTGCATGGGTGAGGGACAGAGGGTACAACTATCATCTATGGACTCGTGCAAAAGCAAGTTTTGGGAAACCCTTGTACTGTTGGGATGAAATCGATGGCGGAGGAGGGACATCCAGTTTCCGATTGACAACCCAATTAGAGTGTGTGGGGCGGCAATCCTCCTCGGATTGAAAGGGATGCAGCTCGTACAAACCCTAATCGCAAAGAGCCGGGCCAATTCCAATCCTAAATACTTTACATGTTCATGAGAATGAAGAACCCTAAGCCCTAATCAGAAGAAAACTACACAAGGGACACCCCAAGTCGAAGAACCTAACTAAAAACACAACTTGGAAATCGTACAGTACCAAAGCCATTAGAATAGCGTAGCCGAGTAGGAAAGAGAGGTTTCGATTTCCGTTTGTTGAGAATTCATATACACTAATGGGAAGAAGAATACTTGGGCAATAGAGCTCTCGTCATTAGCCTAAAAGGGTTTCGCCGATCGTGTTCTTCATTGTTGCGGGAAGGAGATAGGAAACTGAGGAAGGAGAATAAGGGTTCCAAAAAGGGGAAGAAAAAAACATGGGTGAAGGTGATGCGTTTGTTTTCTTCAGTAAGTCTGCCCTGCGAAAAAAATTAGTAAGATTACCTAATTACCCTTACTGCAAGCAAATCAAGGGAAGAAGAGGAATTTTGAATCCGAGAAAATTTCACAAAAGTGTACAATATATTAATGGTGGATTGTGTAGATTGAATAGCAAAATACCTATGAGTATAGGCGAAATTGTCATCCCAAAGCAACAATATTGTTTGTTTCACGTGCACTGAATCCTAGAGGCTCTTTCAAATACCGACTTCTTGGCCATTGGGCAAATCCACCCCACTAATTAGCTGAGTTCACGCTCGACAAGTCAGTAATAGAGCTATGAGAGATACAAACCTGGATATGCTCTTCCCTCATGATAGATAACTTACAACTCTATTTTTATGTTCATGGGGGAGAGGACTTGGTTGTAGTTTCGGGTGGGCATTGGTGTGGTCAAACTGCATCAGATCGCATCAAGTCACTTTTGTTGTCAATCTAAACTGTATCGGAAAACTTGTGGTCTAACATGCCCCGTTTGTCTTACATGCAGTTCGCAGATTATGGTCGGTTTAAGAATTACGACGTGTCATTTCTACAGCTCCCTCGGATGCTTGGTAGGCCTGAAGAATGCTTCACCGTCCCTTCCACTACTCTGAACGTGTCCTTTCTATTTCAAATGTCTCCGTCGAATTTGATCACCGTATAAAAAAGGAGAAAATAAGTGAAGGATTAGATTAAAATTTCATGGTAACATGGACGATTGGAGAGATATTGGAGAGACGAGATAGCGGGGACCGACGATGTGTTTACTGTTAAAAATTTATCTTTTCTACATTTTTCCATTTTGATAATTGAAATTAAATTTATTTGTCAGTAGAGGGGTTTGATCTTTATAGTTCCACAGGTTCACAATTTTAACAGCCATACTATCATTTTGAAGCAACGACTATTTGAGTTATCATGGAGAGCCAAAATGTTGGAATAAGAGCTGTCACAGGAGGAAAGTGCAGGCTATATTGGTTTGCATAAGAAATACAATATTATCTTACCTTATCTTGGCACAAATGAGAATGGTGCTTTTGATGAAATAACATCGAGAGTAATTGAGCTACTATAGGTGGATGATGTTTGGAGATGATCTAGAAGCTCTAATTGCTTTCCATCCTTTCAAGCAACGACTCATTGAAGACAAAGCCTCTATTAAAGATACAAGAGGGATCAGTTCAGATTAAGGTTGTTAAGTGAAAAGAACCAAATATAAAGTTGTCATCGTGGTCGCAAACTAGTCCATATAGGAGTGCATAGTTTGTGTATGAGAGTTTTGGGGTCTTTTTTCCTTGGTAGCCTGTATGATTGTGATTAATAGAGCAGTTCAAACTTCTGTAACTTCCTTGTTAAGGGGTTTGATTCTCACCCAAAGAGAATCAACTTTCATATTTAAGGAAAAGGCTCTACCCCGGCCTCTTCTGTGAGTGTGTCGGGTCGCGATTTCTTGCTTATGGAAGGAGCTTGAACTACTTTGTCGGGCTCCCTTACCCCCCTTACGACACAATCTTACTCTCAGTCTATGGGTCCCCGTTAGAACCCTTTACCATTTCCTCTCCCATTCTCACGATTGAGGAAATTCTACGGTTCCTTTGCCTCGGGTTGATCATTGGCGGCATATGGGATTACTATATTGCTAATGCCCAAGGTCAAGTGTATGCCGATAGACTGATTCTTTCCTCTGTTCCCATCCTATTAAAGCAAAAGCCTATGGACTACTTAATGCCATCTTGATTGCAACGCAAGATTCAGAACCTACCAGCATTCGAACGGACTGCCGGGTTCTTGCTTTTGCTCTTCGTTAAGGCCCTTCTCTTTGGCCTTGGCAATGCTGTGCGACGATTGCTTGCATGGTTTCGGTCATCTTGGATCAAGGTCGAATTCATTTCTCGGCGTCAGAATTCACTCTCGGATGGGTTGCTTGCCAATCTCGACTGAATACATTACCCATGGACTGGATTGTAATTTGTGATATCATTGCTCCCTACTGTAATGTTATCGGCTTCCCTTTTGGGGATTGGAATAAGATATTTCTTATTTGAAAAAAGAGGAAACAATTTGTAACACCTTAGGCTAATCCGACATCAACAAAGCACGGGAGAGATCAATGGTTCAAAAGTAAGAAACCGACCTTAACCGACAAGACGCGTTTTGGGGTGAAATGGAGGAGTTCTTGTGTGAACTCCGAAGTTAAACATGCTCAGTGTGGAGTACACCAAGGATGACTGACCTTATGGGAAGTCACCTTGAATTGCAACTCAAGTCAAAATTTGTGAGAGTCGAGGCCTAAAGCGGACAATATCTTGCTCGGGAAAAGATTCGGGATGTAACAAGTGGTATCAGAGCCTCTTTGCGTCCCACTTGAACGATGTTGGGACAAACCTCAACGAGAACGTTGAGTCCCAAGGAAGGGTGTATGTAACACCTTAGGCGAATCCGACATTGACAAAGCACGGGAGAGATCCATGGTACATAAATAAGAAATCAACTTTAACCAACAAGATGCGTTTTGGGGTGAAATGGAGTACACCAAGAATTGATGACTTTTATGAAAAGTCATTTTGAATTGCACCCAAATCGAAATGCGCGAGAGTTTTACACAAGTTATAAAACGTGTGTTAAAAGGGCCACACAAAAAACAAAAAAAAAAATCTACAGATTCATAGCAATTTCTGTTGTACAATAACCGAGTTTTCAGATTACCTTGGCTTCCCTCCCTGGATCTTTTCCAACATTTCAGGCACGACTTTTTCATTCCCCTCACAAAGTTCATCCTCTCTACCAACACATACAAAACCCTTCCCTTCCCGTTTACTTATCCGCCTCTTGCCGTAAACTGAACTCACAACCAGTAAACCAAAGAAATGGGTTCGATCAATGGAGGAGAGGAAGACATACTCCACGTAATGTTCATCCCATTCTTGGCACCAGGCCACATGGTCCCGATGGTAGACATCGCCAGGCTCTTCGCCGCCGGCGGCGGCAGAGACATCAGAGTCACGATCCTCACTACAACCACCAATGCACGCCGCATTTCTTCCGCCATCGACCGCGATTCCCTCTCCGGCCACCGCATCTCCCTCCTCACCCTCGCCTTCCCTTTCAAAGAAGCCGGCCTCCCGGAAGGCTGCGAGAATCTCCTCTCCGCACCCACCCCTGAAATCAACTTCAAGCTCTTCCACGGCATCGAATTGCTCCAGCCGGAGATGATCGATCTCGTACGGACCCACCGCCCCGACTGCTTAGTTACTGACTACCTTTACCCTTGGTCCGCTGATGTTGCTGCCGACCTAGGAATTCCGAGGCTCGCCTTCAGCGGCAGTGGTTTCTTCAATCTCTGCGTCGCCGACAGCATCGAGGCCAACAAACCCCACGCCGAAATCTCGTCGGAGTCTGAAGAATTCGTCGTCCCGGGAATTCCGAACCGCGTAACCCTAACCAGATCTCAGCTTCCCGATATTGTGAAAGGGGAAGCGAAACTGTCTAGGTTCTTTGACAAATTAAAACAGGCCGAGAGAAGAAGCTATGGAGTTATAGTTAACACGTTTCATTCCCTAGAGGCAGAGTACGCAGAACATTACAGAAGAGTCACAGGATTAAAAGCATGGCAATTGGGACCCGTATCGTTGTTCATCAACCGGAATTTCGATGATAAGATCAATAGAGGTGGGAAATCAGACGTAAATGCAGAGAATTGCTTGAATTGGCTCGACTCCATGAAACCAAACTCTGTTCTCTACATTTGCCTCGGAAGTCTGACTCGATTCAGCAAAGCCCAAATCTCCGAAATTTCTTGCGCATTGGAGGAATCGAGCCACCCTTTCATCTGGGTATTGGCTAAGATCCTGAAACCCAACGTGGAGTTCGATCAAGTCGACGAAGGTAAGGAGCAATGGTGGCTGCCGGAAGGGTTTGAGAACAGAGTAAAACAGAGTGGGAAAGGGCTGATCATCAGAGGATGGGCCCCACAGATGGCGATCTTGGAACACGCGTCGATCGGAGGGTTCGTGACGCATTGCGGGTGGAATTCGATAATGGAAGGGGTTTGCGCTGGGGTGCCGATGGTGACGTGGCCGATTTTCGCAGAGCAGTTTTACAACGAGAAGCTGGTGACTCAGGTGATGAAGTTTGGGGTTTCGGTAGGGAATGAGGTGTGGTCGGTGTGGGCGACGGAGGAGTTGCCATTGATTCGCGGGGAGAGGTTGAGGAGCGCGGTGGAGGTGGTGATGGGCGGCGGCGTGGAGGCGGCGGAGATGAGGAGGAAGGCGGTGGAGTTGGGGAAGGAGGCGAAGAGAGCTGTGGGAGAAGGTGGGACGTCGAGTGATGAGTTGAAGGGTTTATTGGAGGAGATTAGAGGGTGTAAAAGTAAGAGAAGAGGAGTAGAACAGGTAGCTTGAATTGTGGCATTTTTGGGTTTAGGTAGTAAGAACAAATTAAAGAGACTCCATACATGTCCATTGAGATGTGAAATTTGTAGGGTACTTACGAGATCCTTACTCTTATCAGATGGCGGCAGAGGCTCGTTTGCATGCATTATGGACATTTTCATTCAGGATGGGAAACCTTTTTTTGTTTTTAACTGTGTTTATTTATTACCAATATCTTTGACAAGTCTCGCACAATGATTTTTATTTGATATTATGAAATGATAGTCGTCCAATCTTATGAACATGTGTTCATACCTTGGCGGAATACATTGACATGTTTCTTTAAACAAGTTATACAAGATTGTTTTGTAAATTGGTCCGTGAACAATCCATAAACTTGGCTGGAATTTGCCTAGTTGTTGGGAGTATAAGCTAGAGCACGAACTGTGTTCGGCTCTAAGCAAGCACAATAGTAAAAAGTTGTGTTTCTCCCGCCAAACAAGCTTTGCACACTCCAAAGACGAGCCACATAGGTGTTTGGGTTTTGTGTGTGTATTTTTTTATAAGTGTGATTTTATTGATTCAATTTTTAGTGGTAAAAAAAGAACAAACAAACCAATACAAGCACTAGGGGTGTTAGTCGGTTCGGTTACGGTTAAACCGAACCGACAGGTCGGTTAACCGCAGCCGAAACGACCCAAAACCAGCGACCAACACCACCACCGATCCTCTTATCGGTTAGCCGAAACCGAGGACTAATTGCGGTTCGGTCTTTTAGTCATCGAAAACCGCGCCTATAATTATATAGGAGAGGAGACCAATAATTGAAAGGGGAAAATTGCTCCCGTCTCTCTCAAAAAAAAGCCAACTCTTTTGATTCTTTTCCAATTTCTTCTCTGTCCACGTCTTCTCTCTCTTGCTCTCTGCTTCCACTAGATCTACCTTTGTTCAACAAAACTAAGCATCCACCAAAAAATTCGAACACTACAAACCATTCATCCAAATCCCATGGCGGCTTTACCCTAATGCCTCGACCACCGCCTCCTTGTTCTCTCCTACCTTCTTCGAAACAACACGGCGGCGTAAGATGACGAACTATGAGGACGGCAGGGAGGCGGCCGGCGGGAACATGCAAGGCGATCTTCGACTCCTGCCATCAATCCCGACAGAGATTTCAGCAAAAGCGACCACCTCGACTCCTTGCATGTCCACGATCAAGAATGAGGAAGGAAGGGGAGCGAGGAGGATGCAAGGCAAAGTGGGGGCGACAAAGATTGACGACGATAGTGAGGTTGCGAGTGGCAGCGACTATTCACTCAGATCCAGTGGGTGGATATCGATTCTTGCCTGTCACACACCATAGATCCCCGCCGCCGAATATCATGGCTAAATCTCGCCGTTCGAAGAGAGGCGGAGATCCCAGAAGGAAGATGACGAAGAGAATCGCGGTGGTCGACAGATAAGAAGGTTCTTGACGATGGTTTGAGCAGTTGATGCTCGAGGAAAGAATTGAGATTTGCGATGCGGTTGGTGTTTTCTGGGTCGGCAAAAATTGAGGTTGGGAGTTAGGAATTCAGAATTCAGGGGGTGCAGGTTGAATGGTGGGATTGGGAAAGGAAGGTAGAGAGCGGCGAGAATCGGGTTCTTCTTTGGGTTTATTCCATTGTTAGTGATTTCATCATCTATAATAAGAGTCCAAAAGTAATAAATATGTTTGCTAGTAAGAGATTTAAAATTAGTAGAAAGACTAGAACATAGATGACATGTTTCTTGAGTGATTGTTCTTTCGTAGATGTGAAATTTGTTTTGCATATTTATTTCTTATATTGGACTTACTCTATAGTGATTTTCATCTTTCCTTCAAATTCTATGTTTGCTTGTTTCTATCATATAATTGTCTTGCGATGCATAAATTTTGTTGCTATTGTTGTTATGAATTTTTTTGGGCAATTATTGTTATTATGAAGATGCTCAAAAAGTAGAGTATAATTGTTATACAATTGTGTCATCTTCAAAATCAATAAATCTCATATCATCTTGCTCTTGTGGATTTTTATTCCAAAAGTGTTACAAGATGTGTTGTTTCTTTTGTCTTGGCTTATAATCTTAATAGGAATTTGGTTGGCCACTTGATGTAAAATGTGTCATCAGGTCGACCACTTGATGGAATAGGTCGACCATTTGAAGGTAAGTGTATCATCAGGTCGACCACTTGGTGGAAGCAGCAGACCATTTTCTTGGAAAGTGATCAACCACTTAACAAAGGAGGTCGACCGTTTTCTCCAAGTAACGGTGACTTTCAATAGGCATACCCTACTAATTATACATAGTATTTGGTAAATTTTAAATGAATATCAAGTATATTAGTTTTGAATTTCCAATACATATCAACAACTAAAGATTTAAACTACTCATAACAATAGATTGAGCCTATTTTTGCAATATTATACAAGTTTAGATGTTTTATACAAGTAAAAAAATATGAAGGTACTAAAACATAATTTCTCAGCCAATATTTCTGGACCTATTTGTACAAAAATGAAAGTTTAGGTACTAAATGATCAAACAATTTATTTTGAATACTAAAATTTATTTTTCAAAAATTGAAATATGTGACAAAAAAAAAATCAAAATAGAAAAAAAAACTCATAAAATTTGAAATACCAACATGTTAGAAATGAGTATCCAAACAATGAATTTGAAATACATCTACCGAAACACACAATAAGAGGAAATTTACAATGTTTTAAAGTATGTGTGATTTTTTTCTTTTTGCCTTTATGGTACAAACTGAATTTAAATTTTCAACGTTTTGATACATATTTAGTTTGTAACTATACTTAAAAAAAACAATTATGGTACAAAGCAAACTTGCACCATAACATAAATGTACAAGTTTTCTTATGGTAAAATTTAATTTGTATCTCGAAACACTAATACTTTAAAGCATAGTAGAAGACTCGTTCATTAAGGATTGATAAAAAAAGTCAATGTAGCGGTGTAACTCTTAGGTCATTTGTTTGTTGGATTTGGGGACGGATTTCACATCGAAATCTCAAAAGTGATGAATTTCAACAATTCTCTTGTTTGTTGGGTAAAAAAATTGAAAGTCAAATTCCACTTACTTATGGATTTGAATACTAAAATGTATTATTTCAAAAATTGTAATATGTCACCAAAAAATCAAAATTGAAAAAGAAACTCATAAAATTTGAAATACCAACATGTTAGAAATGAGTATCCAAACAATGAATTTGAATTACATGGATTTCAAATGCAAGTATATCAATTTCATGATTTCAAATACATCTATCCAAACACACTCTAAAAGGAAGTTTACAAAGTTTTTAAAGAATGTGTGATTTTGTTTTTACGTCTTTATGGTACAAACTGAATTTGTAATTTCAAAGTTATGGTATAAATTCTGTTTGTAAATATTTGTTTTGTAAAAATAATTTATGGTACAAACCGAACTTGTATCATAATATAAACGTTAAAAGTTTCTTATGGTAAGAATTTAATTTGTATCTCAAAACACCAATACTTTAAAGTATAGTATAGAAAGCTCAGCCTTTAAGGATTGATAAAAAAAGGAGCGGTTACAGTGATTACTACAAAAATAGTAATCGCCGTGGTTACTAAGGGTAAATTAGGTATAGAAAAATAAATTATATTAATTAATTCATTTTAATAAATTACATTTTAGGTAGTTACAAAATCTATTAATTACATTTTTTTCTCTTTTTCTCACTTTCGTAATCTCCAGCCAGAACTCCTTTCCATATTTTTCTCAATCTTTCTGCAAAAGAAAAAACACGAAATCACTACCAATCCATTAGACAACCACAACCATTTTGAAAAACATCAATACCATTGCAGAAATAAATCTATACCATTACACGAAAACTACCAATATAAACAATTTCTACCATTACAAAAGTCAAACAAATACCAAAACAACCAATACCACTACTACTGTGAAATCAAAACAATACCATTGCATAAATAAATCAATACAAACACTACTAAAACAAATACAGAGAAACTATCAAAGCATAATGCAAACACTACCAAACCAAATGTAAATAACTACCAAAACATAATGCTCCATCTAACCAAAACAAATGCAGGTAACTACCAAAGAAAATGCAGGTAACCACCAAAGCATAATGCAAACACTACCAAAGCATAATGCAAACAGTACCAAAATAAAATGCAAGGTAGCTACCAAAGCAAATCCTCTACCAATGCAAGCACTACCATTCTAGATTACATGCTGAAGCAAAGTTGAACGCTTCCTCCGGCAAATTGTATTTGATCTCTCTAATTAGGTTTCCGTTTCTGACAACGACCTCGACCTGCGATCCATGTTCGGAACCCAGCGTCGCCGTCAGCAACGTCGGAGGAAGAATCAAAAGTGGCGGGGAAATCGGCGTCGTCGGGGCGGTCCCGAACTGGGACGCGAGCGTCCATTGATGGTGATGTAGCTTCTGGTGAGGATTTGGGCTTCTTGGTATTCTTCGCCACCGATTTGGGTCTGCTATAGTTTCAGCGGTGATGGGTAGGGAAAAAGAAAAGAAAAAGGGGGAGAAGAAGAAGGGAAAATGGATTTAGAAGGTTTAAGAGGTATGGGCGTTTGAATAAAAATATGGTTGGAGGGGAGGACCGGTGGAGCCAAAATTGCGACGGTCGGCGATTGAAGAGGAAGGGGAGGGATACAGTGGCTATTATAGAGGAAGGAGATTAATAAGGTTATTTAGGGTTTAAAGAGAATATATGTGAATCCTATTTTAAGGATAGTAATCAGGTGAGGTTATTATTTTTGTTCCAAAATTATTCCTAATAAATCCTGATCGTAGGTTTAAAAATATTGAGAATAAAAGGTGGAGATATAGGTAGCCACGATGGTTACTTAAAAATATAGGGGTAAATTTCAAGTTTGGTCACTAGGTTTACAAAAAACGTTCATGTTTGGTCATTACAAATATTAAATTCTATTCGTGGTCATTAAGATTAGTTCAATAGTTCATGTTTGGTCACTCTCCGTTAGTCTACGTTAACTTTTGTTGAGGTGGCAATCAACCTTTATAGTTGATCGTTAAATAAGTGACGTGGCTATTAAAAATAAAAATAATTATTTTTAATTTTACACGTCATTCATTTTCACAACTATTAGAAAATAAAAATAAAACTTAATTTTTTAATTTCCTACCAAATCCAACCTCTCCTATGTATCTCCCCTTCCCTGTTTTCACCGACCGAACCTCCAAACCCCATCACCCTGACCCAACCCTCCCCGTCGTTGGATTTGAGGTTGGATTGGAGGGCGAATGCGTTAGCCATCTTGGCGGCATTCCAATAGGGGAAAGTGCTAGAGGTATCGGAGACATTAGAATAGATGGGCGAGGAAATTGAGATTTCAAGGATGGAGATGAGAGAAGATTCTCACGCCATGGGATAGGTGCAGGGAAGGGCGATTGGCGAAGGGGAGGGATATGAGAAAGAAAAGAGTACAGTTGCATTTGGTTGCCAAGGTGGGAAATTGAGCCTTCGTTTCCAGTCCCAGCAATTTCAATTTTTTCAAGTGGCTTATTTTGTAAGTTTTTCTGGAATTGGAACGACACCGCAACTCGCTGGTGCCCATGAAGCATTGGCGCGGAGCAGGGTCCGTGGGCGGAACCGGAGCATGGGTTCGTCGCCAATCCCTCTCTCTGCCATAGATTTCGAATTCCCCATCCCTTTTTCCTCGACCTAGCCCCTTCTCGAATTAGGTTAGGAGTGTGGTTTTTGTATTGCAACCAACGCAAAACTGGTCACCGCCGAAGAATAGCGATCTGGGTTTCTGGGCTTTCGGAGCTCTGGCCCCGCACCAATTACTGGAGGAGAAGCGGCGGGTTCGCCGGTGACGGGAACATCGAGCTTTTGGCAATCATTTTTTTTAATGGTTGGGAAAAAGCAGCCATCGCCCCCTATTTGCATTTTATTATTATATAATGTAAGTGTAAAATTAAAAAGATTAATTTTTTTATTTTTTTAATAGCCACGCCACTCATTTAACGGTCAACTATAAAGGTTGACTGCCACATCAGCAAAAGTTAACGGAGACTAACGGAGAGTGACCAAACTTGAACTATTGAACTAATTTTAGTGACCACGAATGGAATTAAATATTTGTAGTGACCAAACATGAACATTTTTAGTAAACCCAGTGACCAAACTTGCAATTTACCCAAAAAAATAGTAACCATCCTAGCTCATCCCATAAAAAAAAGTTAGTTGCATATGTAGTGGTGGGATTCTTAGGGTCATTTGTTTGTAGGATTTGGGGACGGATTTGACATTCAAATCTTAAAAGTGATGAAT